AGACAGAGCATGAACGGGGGAGGGGCAGAGAGAGAGGGAGACATAGAATCGGAAACAGGCTCCAGGCTCCGAGCCGTCAGCCCAGAGCCTGATGCGGGGCTCGAACTCACGGACCGCGAGATCGTGACCTGGCTGAAGTCGGACGCTTAACCGACTGCGCCACCCAGGCGCCCCCACTCTCACCACTTTTATTCAGCACAGTACTGGAAGTCCTAACCACAGCAATCAGACTGTGATTGACTTGTATCAGAGATACAAGGCATCCCAACTGGTAAGGAAGAAGTAAAACTTTCATTGTTTGCAAATGACATGATACTATAGATAGAAAACCCTCAAGGCTCCACCAGAAAAACTACTAGAACTAATAAATGACTTCAATAAAGTTGCAGGATACAAATCAATGTACAGAAATCCGCTGCATTTCTATACACTAATAATGATGCCGCAGAAAGAGAAATCAAGAAAACAACCCTATTTACAATTGCACAAAAAATAATAAAATACCTAGGAAAAAACTTAACCAAAGTGGTGAGAGATCTGTACTCTGAAAACTATAAATCACTGATGAAATTGAAGACGACACAAACAAATGGAAAGATATTCCATGCTCATGGATTGGAAGGAAGAACAAATATTGTTAAAATGTCTATACTACCCAAAGCAATCTACAGATTTGATGCAATCCCTATCAAATACCAACAGCATTTTTCACAGAACGAGAACAAATAATCCCTAAAATTTGTATAGAACCACAGAAGACCCCAAATAGCCAAAGTAATCTTGACAAAGGAAAAAACAAAACTGGAGATACCACAATTCCAGGCTTCAAGTTATATTACAAAGCAGTAGTAATCAAAGCAGTAGGGTACCGGCACAAAAATAGACACATAGATCAATAGAACAGAATAGAGAGCTCAGAAATAAACCCACAATTATATGGTCAATGAATCTTTGATGAAGGAGGCAAGAACATGCAGTGGGAAAAAGGCAGTCCCTTCTACAAATGGTGTTGGGAAAACTGGACAGCTACATGTGCAACAATGAAACTGGACCCCTTACTTACATCACACACAACTATAAACTCAAAATGGATTAAAGACCTAAATGTGAAACATGAAGCCATAAAAATCCTAGAAAAGAGCACAGGCAGAAATTTCTCTGACATCAGATGTAGCAACATTTTTCTAAATATATTCTCTGAGGCAAGGGAAATAGAAGCAAAAATAAATTATTGGGACTGCGTTAAAGTAAAAAGCTCCTGCACAGCAAAGGAAACAACCAACAAAACTAAACCACAACCTACTGAGTGGGAGAAGATATTTACCAATGACATATCCAATAAAGGGTTACTATTCAAAATATATAAATAACTTTTACAACTCAACACCAAAACGCCCCAAATAATCCAATGGGAAAATGGGCAGAATACATGAACAGATATTTCTCCAAAGAAAAAATACAGATGGCCAACAGACACATGAAAAGATGCTCAACACCACTCATCACCAGGGAAATGCAAATCAAGACCACAATGAGAGATCACCTGACACCCGTCAGAATGGGTAAAATCAAACACACAAGAAACAACAAGTGTTGGCAGAGATGTGGAGAAAAAGAACGCTCATGTGCTGTGGGTGGGAACGCACACTGGTGCAGCCCCTGTGGAAAACAGTATGGAGTTTCCTCAAAAAGTTAAAAATAGAACTACCCTATGATCCAGTAATTTCACTGAGTATCCAAAGAATACAAAAACACTACTTTGAAGGAATACGTGCACCCCATGGCTATTGCAGCATTACTTAAAATAGCCAAATTACAGGGGTGCCTGGGTGGCTCAGTCTGTCGAGCATCCGACTTCAGCTCAGGTCATGAGCTTGTGGTCTGTGAGTTCGAGCCCTGCATCAGGCTCTGTGCTGACAGCTCAGAGCCTGGAGCCTGCTTCGGATTCTGTGTCTCCCTCTCTCTCTGTTTCTCCCTCGTTCATGCTCTGTCTCACTCTCTGTCAAAAATAAACATTTTCTAAAAAAATAAAAAAATAAATAAAATAGCCAAATTATGAAAGCAGCCCAAGTGTCCATTGATAGATAAGTGGATAAAGAATATGTAGTGTGTGTGTGTGTGTGTGTGTGTGTGTGTGTGTGTATATATATATATATATACACACACACATATATATGTGTATATATATATGTATATACATATATATATATATACACACTGTTCATGTATTCATGTTCAGAAATATCTGTTCATGTATTCTGCCCATTTTCCCATTGGATTATTTGGGGGGTTTTGGTGTTGAGTTGTATATATATATATATATATATATATATATATATACACACACACACTATATATATATATATATATACACACTATACACACACACACACACACACACACACACACACAATGGAATATTATTCAGCTATAAAAAAGAATGAAACCTTGCCATTTGTAACAACATGGATTGATCTAGAGAGTATTATGCTAAGTGAAATAAACCAGTTGGACAAAGACAAACACCATATGATTTCACTTGTATGTGGAATTTAAGAAAAAAAAACCCAGCAAAGGAGAAGAGAGACAAACCAAAAACAGACTCTTTTTTTTTTTTTAAGTTTATTTATTTATTTTGAGAGAAAGAGAAACAGCGTGAGCGGGAAAGGAGCAGAAAGAAAAGGGAGGGACAGGATCCCAAGCAGGCTCCATTTGGCCAGTGCAGAGCCCGATGCGGGGCTCAATCCCATTAACTGTGAGATCATGACCTATGCCAAAATCAAGAGTCAGATGTTCAACTGACTGAGCCACCCGGGCACCCCCAGACTCTCAACTATATAGAGAACAATCAGATGGTTAACAGAGTGGAGGTGGGTGGGGAGGACGGGTGTAATGGGTGAACGGGATTCAGAGTACACTTATCTTGATAATAATATGTGGAATTGTTGAATCACTATATTGTCCACCTGAAACGAATATAACACTCTTAACTACACTGGAATTAAAATCAAAAAAAAAAAAAAAAAAAAAAACTTAGTTCATCAAAAGCTTGGAATATTCCCTGGACAACTAAATTAGAATGGTCTCTTATATTATGCTCAAGGCCCTCTAATTATTTCAAATGACCTTGGGCAAATCCTATCACCTTTTCAAATTCCATTGGTCAAATGAGGTGTTGGCTCCGCAAAGAGAAGTGGTATGTGGTTTTTGTGGTTAAGCACACAGACTTTAAGTACAGATTTAAATATCAGCTTTACCACTTATTAGTTACGACACCTTGGGAAAATTAATTTGTCCTCTTTGAGAATAATTTGAGCCTTGCAGGCCATACAGTCCGTATTGTGACTCCCAATTACTGCCACCGTAATGTGAAAGTGGCCATAGATGATGCTTAAACTATGTCCCAATAAAACTTTATTCTACAGAAAGAGGCGCTAATCAAATTAGGCCTACACCATAGTTGGTAGATCTCTGATCTCTAAGACAGAAATAATAATCACTTACCTTCAAGGGTTGCTGCAAGAATTAAGTTGGTTACTACCTGTTTCTTGGCACACGGTAGGCATTCAACGAATGAAAGCTGCCACTACCATTACCGTTACTATTTCTAAGCTTATTCTAACTCATTCTGTGACCATGGATCTATGGCTATAAGACTTCCTGGATGGGTGGAACAAATTTCACAACTGCAAATTACTTTTCTGAATGGAGACCTATGTGGAAGGAACATGGATCTGGGAACAGGATAAGCAGGGAACACGGAGTCTTTGGTAGCTCCCGGCCCTGAGGGTTCCATGTTGCAAGGAAGGGCAAATGACTGCCATCCCGCGGTATGGATGATCTCGTTTCAAAACAATAAATACGTAAAGCTAAGATATCAGTTTTACTTTCTAAGATGACCTCGTGCATAATGTTATGTTTTAACTGCAGGGGCATGTTTTCTCGTTCATGTGGTGGTAGCCTGTCTACGTACCGTTTTTTTTTTTTTTTTTAATTTTTTTTTTTCAACGTTTATTTATTTTTGGGACAGAGAGAGACAGAGCATGAACGGGGGAGGAGCAGAGAGAGAGGGAGACACAGAATCGGAAACAGGCTCCAGGCTCTGAGCCATCAGCCCAGAGCCCGACGCGGGGCTCGAACTCACGGACCGCGAGATCGTGACCTGGCTGAAGTCGGACGCTTAACCGACTGCGCCACCCAGGCGCCCCTACGTACCGTTTTTAATATCAAAGACATTCACTCTTATTTCACCAATGGCTCCGAGCTGAAAAGCTTGGACATTCTCCCACAGTATATTATCTTAACACAAACTGCGGATAAATGGCATCATCTTGGAGCTCAGAGCAAAAAACTGTCGCACAAAGGTTTTCTGTTTTTAGTTAAGGTCGTTCTATGTTAGTCTTGGGCGTCGTGGGAGTCAGTTTGGGGTAGTTAATGCGGGCTGGTGACCATCTTGGACAGAAGGAGCTGGGAAAACAATGATGAGTGGTGACCGGTTAAGTTGTCCCACCCCTGCCTCCCACCCTTCGCTCAATTCATAGTCTCTGTCTACATCTTGAGCCTACTCAGAATCACTATTTTGATCAATAATCCAAAATTGATCATTTGGATTCCACATAAGTGAGGTTGAATGCAAGTACCGAGCTAACTCGTTCAGGAAAAAAGCAGTAAGAGAATTTGTCATTAAGTAAAATATATTTTTTGTTGTTTATAAGTTTTCACATTTGCTGTTGTTAAGTGGTCATTTTTTTTTTTAATGTTTATTTATTTTTGATAGAGACGGAGCATGAGCAGGGGAGGGCAGAGAGAGAGAGAGGGAGACACAGAATCCAAAGCAGGCTCTGGGCTCTGAGCTATCAGCACAGAGCCCGATGCGGGGCTTGAACTCACAAACCGTGAGATCATGACCTGAGCCGAAGTTGGATGCTTAACCGACTGAGCCACCCAGGCGCCCCAAGTAGTCGTTCTTATAACACGAAACATATAAATCATCCAGAAAATATCAGCATTTTGCTTTTACTGTGACAACGGTAAATGATAACAGAGTAGGAACACTTTTGACTGAAAATATGAGAAAGGGCAAGATTATACGATGCTGCAGCATTTCACTGTGAAATGGTGTGTCATAAGCAAAGCAGATTAATTTGTCTACGTGAAAGCTGTCGAGTGAGGCAGAGATTAACACCAGACCTGCCTGTTCCCATCAGTGGGATTGTCACGTGGGGTCAAACATGGAAAATGAGGCTGGTGAAGAGGGGCAAGATGTATCAGCTGCTGAGGATACTGGTCCCCTGCAGATAGTAGGTTGGTGATACTGTCTATAGGTTGACAAAAAAAAAAAAAAAAAATTATAATCAGGTAATAAGGCACCCAGATCATTAGGGCAAATAATCCCCAGAATAATCTAGTAACCTATGTTATTCAAAGTCCTATCTAACATCAGTCAACGTATGAATAATTCCCTTTTCATTGCTATTTACTTTCAGCGCCCATTTTTACATTATATTTTACGTAGGTAATAAGAGTTTTCAAATGGCCACATTTGTGTTCTTCCAAATACAAATTCATATTGAATCTAGAATGTTGTGCCCGCCCATAAGCTTTCAGAGTCTGTCAGTTGATTAAACACTAGATATGCAATGCTTAAGCTGTTGACATATTTGCATCGGCGACAAATGAGTTGCAATTTTATATTTATGTAGTTATGCTGCACACCAAGTTGTGCACACACACAGTCGTTGCACACACGTGGTATTAATCTGTGTTCTGGCACTAAACAGCTGGCCCTGAGCGACCTCAGGGACCTCGGGGAGAAACAAGGCTGCAGGGGCCGTTGCAAAGTGCGTGCCCTCCGCCTGCCGGCCAGTCACCTGCGTCACCCTGACAGATCTCTCCCGGGTGGGGAATGAGGCCTGGGTCTCTCACCCATTAAATCTTTGCTCTTTGCCTGGACTCCATCCAGGCACAACTTTGACAGGAAGCAGACTGCGCTTGATCTCACAGATGTTGCTGGAAAATCTCTGAGTTTCACGGGTGTGAGTTTTAAGGGACGGGAGTTAAAATCTGGTTTGATATTAGCACAGGTTTTGGTAAAGAAAAAAAAAAGAGAGAGAGAGAAAGAAGGTGTCACCAAGCCACAACCATGAGCCGTTCGGAAGGACTCAGGCGTGGAGAACAGCCCGTGTGGGAGGTCTCGGGGCATCACAGGAAATTCCCCTGCACGGGGAACAGGTGCAGCACAGATGATCTCTTCTAGGCACTAAGGTGGAGGTCGTAGGGAAGAAGAAATGGTAACGGTGAAGAAGGTGATGGGAGGTTGGCAGCTACTTTTTTCTGTCACCTAAAAGGAGTCATTAGATTATTTGCGCTAAGACTGTCATTATCTGGGGGTACTTCATCCTCAGGACAGCTCAGGGAGAAAGCACTTTCTAAATTACCCATCACATTCCTTTGGGGAAACAGCATCCCTCTGAGAAAAGCTGGTAGCTCTATTTGGCCACGTGAAGTCCTGGGAAGGTGGGCTCTGGAGAGGGGTCCGCAGGCAGAATGCTGGGCTCGCCGCAGGGCTAGATCTGGGGTTGTCCCCACGCAGGGATGGAGCGTGGCATCCCGGGGCCCACAGGATGGGGCCCTGAGTTCAAATGTAGGGGAAGAGAGCTGGGAAGGCAGCTACGCTCACCAGACTGCCAACTGCCTCCCGTGGCCCCTGCCCCTCCCCGTTCCCTGGGGGGGGGGGGGCAGGGGGGGAGGACACAAAGCCACCTCCATTGGGGAAAGATTCAAAAGCTCAGGATGCCTTTCAAATGCCAGAAAAAAAACTACGGATATGTAGTAAAAAAAAAAAAAACCTGCTAGTAATCATTTATTGTTTGTTTCCTGTACAGCAGAAGCCTCTTTTCTTATGGGTATCAAGGGCTTCCTGTCATGCAGCCCTTTGCAGGGGCCACGGACTTGACCCTCACTGCAGGAGACTGCGGTTTAGGTAAGGCACTGCCGAGTCGGGTTTGGTGCACCTGTGCGCCAACACCAGCTGGGTATGCTTCTCGGGTGGGTCCTTGAACCAGCCAGTTCAAATCGAAGGAAATCTTAGTGCTCAGTCGAAGGAAACAGAAGAGATTGGGACGCAGAAGAAAAAGACAGCCGTCTCTCGGCCCTCTTGCAGGTGGGAAGATGTGTCCCTAAAGGTGACCGGTTCTATGGCTCCCTTGTTTCTGTTTCCTCTTGCGGATCTGCCGCTGGAGCTGCAGCTTGTTGGTGAAGAATATCTGCCTCCAGCCCATATCCTTGGCCAGGGCCCTCATGTCAGGTGTGATGGTGTCACAGCAAGAGTGAACTATCTTCTCCCACAGCTCGTCCGACATGCACAGCTGTGGGTGGAAAAAGGCAGAGGTGGGTTACGTCGGTCCCCGGGTAGGGAAAAGTCATTCCCTCACAAAATCACTACCCGATTCTCACGGCCGGTGAAGACACTGCAGGAAACATTACCTGAGCATGAAGACGTACAAGACACAGTTCTTACTTCCTTTCTTTCCTCTTGGAGGAAAGGCAAGTACCCAAATGCTTAAAAGGACAAGGCGGCGTTTGATTCGGGGAGCAAACCAAGCCCTGCTCTCATTTAAGATGAAAAATACACGACAGCCGGAAATAGTACATACACCACGTTATATAGTTAATTTATAAACACCATGTTATAGGGTCAGTTTCCAATTAACCATGCAACACAGGCTGATAATGGTATGGCCCACCAACCTTCCACCAAGTGCTACAGCAGCTTTGAGAGCGGGAGCGTTGCTAACTCCTGCTAAGCTTGCCTCCATTTAAAAAATGTTTTTTAGTGTTTATTTTTCTGAGAGAGAGAGAGAGAGCATGAGCAGGGGAGAGGCAGAGAGAGAGGGAGACACAGAATCAGAAGCAGACTCCAGGCTCTGGGCTGTCAGCACAGGATGCGGGGCTGAAACTCAGGAGCCGTGAGATGGTGACCTGAGCTGAAGTCGGACGCTTACCTGACTGAGCCACCCAGGCGCCCCAACTTGCCTCCATCTTAAACCCTCACTTAAGCCATCTCTTCACTGGGCTCATACAGCTGACGGCTTAGTTTACTGCAGGCTGCTTGGTAGCAGATGGCCTCATAATGAACAAGCAGCCCTCAGACAGCCAACCTGCCCCCATTCCTGGTGCCAGGGTCCCATCCACAAGTTTTGCTCTGAGTCCTTTGCACACTGTGACATCACACCGTGTACCAGAATCACACAATTCTGTGTACTCACTGGGCCCATCCAGCACATGGCAAAGTGAGCCATTCTCTGGGGAGAAACTTCTCTGAGATGTTCCTCTGCAGCCTGGGGCTTTAACTGGAAGCCATGAGGCTAAAGGACAGATAAGACCCCTCTGGCCCAAGATCTGCATGAGGCCATTTTGTCCTCCCTCCAAGTTCAGTGCGGCCACAATTCAGCTTCCATTTAGCCAGGACTTTCTAGTATGACATTTTTTTTTTTTCTAATTTTCTTAACGTTTACTTATTTTTGAGAGACAGAGAGAGACAGAGGGAAAATGGGGGAGGGGCAGAGAGAAAGAGAGACAGAGAGAGAGAGAGAGAGAGAGAGAGAATTACAAACAGGCTCCAGGCTCTGCGCTGTGAGCACAGAGCCCTACAAGGGGCTCGAACCCACAAACCTGAGCCGAAGTCTGACGCTCAACCGACTGAGCCACCCGGGCGCCCCGAGTAGTCGTTCTTATAACATGAAACATATAAATCATCCAGAAAATATCAGCATTTTGCTTTTACTGTGACAAAGGTAAATGATGACATTTACCTAGTGTGACATTTTCGGTTGGCACCATTTTTTACGGCACTTTTGCCCTCAACAGTGTCCTCCTACTAAACACTGTTAATGTGCAGATATCCTGACCCCTTCCATAACATGCCCCAAATCCTTCCCGAAGGTAAAGCTTCTATTACATTTATTTAGTATCACCCACCTTGGCATTCGCCATGGCTTTTTGGTCTACGCAATAGGAACATTTAAAGGTGCTTGGATATCTGGTGTTACACACAGCAGGCACTCTGGCTGTACAAATCGTGCCCTAAGAGGGGTTCCACGTGGGCCTCGGTGACAGACACTCCCTGACTCCATCTTTCCTGTGCCGGTTCTGTGCTCCGGGAAGCTAATCAGCAACCCGATTTCCCTTTTCATCAGTTCCATTCAGTGGTCGTCATCTGTGAAAATCCGGAAGTGGAAAGGGCTAGGCGTGGTGGACAGTCAGTAAGGTGCCTGGAGTTCCTTTAAGCCAGTGGTGCCAGGGCACGCTGGCCTGGGCTCCTGTGTCCCGCTCAAGACCCTCTCAGATGTACCCCATCTGTAGGCACACCCACAAAGACTCCTCTCCGAAGGAGACAGAAAGGCGAGAAGCCTGTGGATCCCTCAAGGATCTGTCGTTGACGGAGCATATGCCCAGAGCAAGGAACTTTGTGTTCATTGCCTTACTTATATATGTATTTATGTCGATTTCTTTAATAAGTTATTTATTACAGCAAAATAGTCTGAAGCAATCTCGTGAGGGATACGACGACGGAAAGCAAGGCATTCAGTCAGTTTACACACGATGTTGCTGAAGAACCACAGAACGCAAGGAAAGCAGATCCCTATCTAGAATAGAACCAGGATCCAGGGAGGATAAATGGCTGCCTCCTCCATGATGAAGAATCCGGTGTTACTCACCCGCCACTGAGTTCCCGGCTGGATGCCCTAGAGTGCAGCCCTGTTGAGGGCTCAGTGTTCGTCTCTCCTGTGACAGTAGCCAGATTCCTCTTGATAAGAGGAGGCTCCTTCTGAGTCCACACACAGGCCCCATCCTTGCCACTGGGCATTTTGGTTATGAACCCAGCAAACATTAGGGTGGCCAGGGAAACAAGCTGACGGACAGCCACAGGGCAGAGCATCTTCCCCATCTAATAACTGAAAACTTCCTCTGCATCAAGTGCCTTTTGATGAGAAGTCACATGGGACACAGATATCTGTATCTTTGGGCTGATTCTGAGAAATCCGTCCAAATACCTCTTCCCTAGGAATCATCACAAATCTCCAGATCTTGTTCTTTTCAAGACTTTGACCATCTGGCCAAAACAGTAGCCTCAACCCCATAGGAACCCAAGAGCTGTTTTTCGAAAGCAGAACAGTTTTCTCCAAACGAATGCTTGTCTGTACTCCAAAACCCTGGGATACAAGCTATAATTTCCCTATGGAGGCACAACACAGGTCTCAGCAAGGATCTGGACAGGCCACCGCCATGTAGGCTGAAGACCCTCTGAGCATCACTGAATCTTCTGGACCTTGAGAAGCCAGAAGCACTGCTGCTTACACCACAGTCAGGACCAGGAGCTGGGCTCCCCTCGCCACTGGCAGCTTTAGGTCTTCACGGAGAAGCAAACTCAAACTGTGCATGTACCTTGAAACCGAAAAACGATCCACAAAGAGCTGTGGTAGAGTTTATGGTCCACAAAGAGCTTACAGCAGGAAGTGGATCCAAGGCACAGGATCTCAGGTCATGTCTAGAGATGGCAGGCCCCTCAGTTTTTGCACAGTTCATCTCCAAGTCCTTGATGTACACGCACTTTACGAAGGCACCTGAGGTATCTGCTGCTTCCTGCTCATCAGCACATTGTCTACAATGTTGACCAGCACATAGGAAGTGATACGATCAACAGCTCTGTGATGGGGGCACCCGGGTGACTCAGCCAGTTGAGCGTCCAACTTCGGCTCAGGTCATGATCTCACAGTTCGTGGGTTCAGGCCCCGCATCGGGCTCTGTGTGGACTGCCCAGAGCCTGGAGCCTGCTTCGGATCCTGTGTCTCCCTCTCTCTCTCTCTCTCTCTCTCTCTCTCTCTCTCTGCCCCTCTCCCGCTAATACTCTGTCTCTCGTTCTCTCAAAAATTAAATAAGTAAATACATAAATACTATTAAATATTTTTAAAAAATAGCTCTGTGATATAAGTAAATTCCACAGCTACAGAACTAACATAATCCTGATACAAAATGAAGAAGGTATCCTGTCCTCCCCACCAGGGGAAAGCAAATAAATCTATTGTGTTCTTATTGGAAAATCTAGGAAGACATGAGAATGGCATGTAATGGGGTGATGACAAAGGAGGAGGTGAGAAATGGCTGGATTGTAGGTATATTTTGAAGGTAGAGCTCATGAGACTTGCGAACGAATTCAATGAGTAGAGCAAAGAGAAGAACTAATGATGAGCTCTTTGGCTTAAGCAGCTGGGTGAGTGGTGTTGCCAATGACCGAGAAAATAACACTGTGGGAGAGGTAGAATTGGTAAACAGGTGTGTGTGGAGGGACATCAGTAAGTCTGGTTTTGACGTGTCAGATCTGAGATGTCTATACTACATCTAGGTGTAAGTGTGGAGCATGCAATTAGACATAAAAGTAAGGAGTTCAAGGGGGCAACCTGGACTGGAAACATATATTTGAAAATTATCAATATGTAGGGGCGCCTGGGTGGCTCCGTTGGTTAAGCATCTCACTCTTATTTCAGCTCAGGTCATGATCTCATGGTTTGTGGGTTCAAGCCCTGTGATGGGCTCTGCACTCAGAGCATGGAGCCTGCTTGGGATTCTCTCTCTCCCTCTCTCTCTGCCCCTCTCTTGCCCATGCTTGTGTGCATGTTCTCTCTCTCTCTCTCTCTCTCTCTCTCTCTCTCTCTCTCTGTCTCCCTCAGAATAAATAAAAACATTCAAAAATAAAGAAAATTATCAATAGGTAAATACTATTTAAAGCTCTGGGATCAGATGCTATCATGTAGGTGTGACCATAGATAGAGAAAATGCCCAATGTCTAGGACATCCCAACATTAAGCAGTCAAAAAATAGAAAATTTTTCAGCAAGGGAGACTGAGAATAAGGAAGAAAACCCGGATAGCAATCCAGCGGGTCAGATGCTGTTGAAAAGGTCGGAACTTGAGACTGGCTGGTGTTTTTGCAAGATCAGGGACAACGGCAACCTCGACACGAGCCGTTTCAATGGCACAGTGGGGATGAACGCCTGGCTAGCGAGTTCAAGAAAGGAGAGGAGAGGAAGAGGCTACAGCAAGTACAGACACTCTTTTGAGGGAATTTTGCTTGGAGGGCAGAACAGGGAATCAGGTCAAGGCATTTTCTCTTTCTAATTTCTGTGCTGATGGGAATGATCCAGTAGAGAGGATAAGACTAGTGACAGAGGATAAAAAAGGACAGCCGCGCGAGCAAAGTAGTTGAACAGAGGAGTTGAGATGCACAAGTGGAAGTGTGAGTGTAGGTAATAAGAGGGAGAACTTCTCACCTGTAACAGGAAGCTCACGGAGCAGAGGGTAGAGCTGGG